CTAAGGAAAATTAGTATATTTCACCTCTTGATTCCCAGTTAACTCAGTATAAATATTTACAAGGTTGTTGTTGTTGTTTTTTTGTTTTGTTTTTTAATTAGACCAGGTTTTATTTAAACTGTGTATAAAATCCCATGTTCCATTGGGGTTACAGCGTCGCAAAGCCACTCCTTTATGATTGAAGTCATAAATATAAGGAGGGCAGGGAACAGCCAAGATTTTCCCCACTGTTCCTCTGGGCCAACAAATGAGTCCATCCCATTCTGGAATACAATTTCCCTAAGTCCTGCTTCCTCTGAGCTCCAGCACCAGGGCAAGGCTCTGGGGGACAGGAACTCGGGGGCTGCCTTCTCCCAGACAAAGGTGCTCGCAGGGATCATTGTTCCTATGCTGGGACCTCCCCAGTCCCAGGGCTGACTGGCAGCCATTTCTGTTTGCCCCACCCTGGTGATTCCCTAAGATCCCACCTCATCCAATTTAAAACCTCACCCCAAGATTGTTGTTTTTTACTTGAATGTGGGCTAATATCTTTAAACTTGGCTTTAGTATTCAGAATCCAAATTTTGCACTAAAACTGAGGATGTCATATAAATAAAAATATTGATTCATTAGAAAAATAGGCAAATAAACAGAACATTTGTAACAATAGGAAAAATTTAAACCTATCCTAATAGAGGGAATATGCTAATTGACCATCATGCCCTCACAAGACGGCAGCGCCCACAGCCATAAGATGGTGGCGCCCAGTCCCTCAGCCCTGCCTCATCCAGCCTCAGTCCCCCAGGCCCTCAGCCCCACTGGGGGGTGGCAAGTGCCATGTGCCTCATCCAGCCTCGGTTCCCCAGTCTTCTCAGGCCCACCTCATCCAGTTGGAGTCCCCCAGTCCCCACAGTTCTGTAGGAGAGGGCAGTTGAGGGAGATCAGGATGGCAGGGGAGGGCAGTTGGAGGTGATCAGGCAGGCAGGCAGAGTGATTAGGGGCAATCAGGCAGACAGGCAGGTGAGTGGTTAGGAGCCAGCAGTCCCAGATTGTGAGAGGGATGTTCAACTGCCAGTTTAGGCTTGATCCCACAGGCAGTGGGACATCCCCTAGGGGTCCCAGATTGGAGAGGGTACAGGCTGGGCTGAGGGACACCCCCCACCCTGTGCATGAATTTCATGCACCGGACCTCTAATCAATCATAACAGTGACAATAAAATATCCTACCCTAGAAATCTCATATATTGCTGGTAACAGTATAACTTGAAATAACTCTTATGAAAATCTTTTTGGTTGTAAAATGTTCTTATTCTTTGGCTCCACCTTTGGGAATTTATACTAAGAAAATGATCTCAAAAGAAAAAAATCAACTTTATAGATTATTGGAGAAACCACGTAAGTAATCTCCGTTTCCATCATGGACCTACAGGGTCCGCCACCCCTCACCCCCAGCACAATCCATTTTCAACGCAGCAGTTGGAGTGACCCGTGCTTTTCTGCTCAGGGCCCTCAGATGGCTCATGTTCTCAGGGTAAAAGGCCAAGTCCTTCTGTTGGCTTGCAAGGCCCTATGTAATCTCTCTGCCCCCTCTGGGATCCCATCTGTCACTCTTCCTCTACTCCTTCCCCTCCAGCCATGGGGCCTTCTTACTGTTCCTCTAACAAGTGGGTCACACTTGGCTTCAGGGCCTTTGTTCGTGGAGTTCCCCCTGCCTCGGTTCTCTTCTGCAGACCCACATGGGCCCACTCCCGCTTCTCAACCTTTGCTCGGCTATCATCTTGCCAAAGAGGCCTGTGGCCTGCTCAATTCAAAATTTCAATTCGTACTCTTAACCCGGAACACAAGCTGGATTGCTGATCCCCTTATCCTGTTCCCTCTCTTCTACATCCTACATAAATTACTATGTTTGTGATCTGTTGTCCCCACACAAAATGCAAGGTCCACATGAGCAGGGATTTTTGTTTTGCAGTGATGTATTCTAAAAACTCAGAATATTACCTGGCACATACAGCAGGTCCTCAATTAATGATTTGTTTAGTATTGTTTTGTTACAACATTGATAAATGCAGCAGAAACTCTTGTTTATATCTATTAGCTAGGGTTTCCTTATACAGTGGGGCCTTGACTTCCGAGTGTCCCAACTAACGAGTTTTTTGAGATACCAGCTGTCTCTCGGCTGATTTTTTGCATTGAGTTGATAGAGTAATTTGAGTTAACGAGCTCCTTAACGAGCTCGGTCTCGGAACGAATTAAACTCGTAAGTCAAGGCCCCACTGTACTTCGTTTCACCTGTAAGTGCAGAACCTATTGATGATGTGAGGACTTAGTGTATGTGCAGTCAATAATTGTTGAATAAATACATTGGAAAATAGCATGAGAAAGCATGTCTAAACAAAGAGTTGGCTAATTAAAATTATGAGATGTATTGTAAACTGATTCAATCAAATCCCCCTAATATTTCTGTGATTCAGCCCTTTTCAACCATGCACTTAAAAAGGGGGAAAGAGCCCTGTGTCTCATCTGTTCTGAAGAGGGAAGAGACGCATTCCTAGCTTTCCTCGCAGGTGCACCGCAATTCAGACATGACTGACAGATGCCCTGTTGCACCCGATACGAAGAGGCTCACCAGACATGGCTTCTCTCTTCTAACCTTCCGGAGACTAACATGCCACATGCCACAAGCCCACTTATCTATCCTTTGGTGACTCAGCTTGTTTACAACGATCCAAGTAACAGTTGTTCCCATTTTCTATAAGTTATATTTTCACAATTAAAAAGTCAATATGTCAATAAAATTAAAACCAATACATTCTCTGATGTCCTTCAAAGAGATTCACACATTCCCAAAGACATTTCAAGGGGACCCTGCTATTTCATTTGGGTTAATCACACCCTCTGTACCCATTTACTTTTTTGTAAAACAGGCCTATTCTGAGCCGTGCCTACAGCAAAATGAGCTGTATGAGGAAAACATAAGTACATGGAAAGACTGATGGATTTAGAGCCATATAGTCATGAGTTCTAATTTTGGCTCTCATACTAACTAGCTATGTGACCTTGGGCAAATTATAGACTTTCTGAGCCTCAATATGAAGCGGGCAATGTCTTCCTTATACAATATGTGCACATAGGACATCTACAAGTGCCTCATGTAGAACAGATGCTCAAGAAATTGTAATTATTGTAAACCACAAAGCATATTGTGCAAATATCTATTGATGATACTAACAGAACAAAAAGGAAAGAAAAAAGATATGAACAGTTCTGGGTTGGAGCCATGGTGGTGGCAAATTCAAGCCCTGTCAACCTGGGGTGTTCATTGATATTAGCATCGGAAGCCAGAAAGTTGGCTATTTGGAGATCAAGCTCTTTGCAGACCTTGTGACTAAGGCAGCTGAGAACTTCAGGCAGTTCTGCACTGGAGAATTCAGAAAAGATAGGGTTCCTATAGGATACAAAGTGGCATTTTCACAGGGTTTTAAAGGATTTCATGATCCAGAGTGGAGATTTTATTAATGGAGATGGTACTGGAGTTGCCAGTATTTACCGGGGGCCATCTGCAGATTAAAATTTTAAATTTAGACACTCAGCTCCAGGCCTGCTTCCCATAGGAAACAGTGGTCCCAGTACAAATGACTGCCAGGCTTTCATCACCTGCTCTAAGGGTGCCTGGCTGGATGGGAAGCATGCAGTGTTTGGAAAAATCACTGATGGACTTCTAGTGATGATAAAAGACTGAGGCCCAACAATAAGCCCAAGCTGCCCGTAGTGACCAGTGTGGGTCGATGGAGTCCAGAGTGAGACTGACTCAGACCTTGACCTCTCTGCTATTGTAGGCCTGGCCTTGCTCTGAGTGATGCCCTCAAGTAAGATCATTTGGATTGGCCTGTGTTTGCTTCCTGGCCTGCTGTTGCCCTGTTTGATCAAGAGATCTTGGAAGTATCACAGATTCAGAACCCAAGATTTTCCATGTTTTTCAACTGTAAATAATGTTTTCCGGGAAAACACAACCAAACAAAAATGTGAACAGAACTGGCACGAGAAGCACAGCACTGGGAGCACGAACAGACAAGGTGTGTGAAGAGGAGCGGGTAGCAGGCATGGCATGAGAATGGGACCCTGAGGAAATCGGAGTCTGGTTTTTTCTCAGTATGAAAAGCCATGGATGACATTTTGAGAAAAATTTAACAAGGCAAGACCTATGTTTTAAGAAAACAACTGTTTAGAAATGTGGAAGGTGGTATGGAGGGAGAAGAGCCAGAGGCAGGACTTAGTTAGGAGGCAAGAGGGTATGAAATAGAACGAGAGCAACTGGGGAATAGGAGGAGGGCACCACGGAGAGGCTGTAGTAACAGTCCCCATGAAATAAGGGGACAGTAAGCAAAGAATGGGGGTGAATGAACAAAAATGACAAACAATTACATTTAGATGATCTTTATGAGTAAAGATAGAAGAGAGGTTCAATATGGTATCAAGGGTTTGAGTGGGGGACTAAAAGAATGTTAACTTAATTGTTCAAGAATAAAGGAATTAACAGGAGGTCATTTTTGGACCAGCGGGGTCTAAGGCATTTGGAGAGATGTCCCATAGGCAGACCCCAAGAGAAAGACATGGGCTTTTTATGTATAGCTGGGAGTCATCACCATAGAGACAAGAATTGAAACTACGGAAACTGGATGAAATTCAAAGACTTTCGGAACTCTGAAACAGAAAGTTATAGTTAAGAGCCTTAATATGTAAACACATTTACACAGAACTAATAAGTGGACAGAGGTTGGCCAATGAAGTCTCTGCCAGCAAGAGACTTGAAAAGGGATAATAAGGTATGAAAATGAAAACAATAATATCTATAGAAATCTTATTAATGTACTAAATTTATAATGTTTACATTAACCTATAGAAATAAGCCCAATAAAATCTTTGGGCACAGAAATGTGAACTGGCCAAAACTGAGTGTTTCTAAATTTCTGATACAAAATTAAATGAAATCTTTATCATATCAATAAATATCTGGAGGAGACTAATTCAAAACCAGTGTTTATTTACATAGTGCATATCCCAGAAAGTTTGGGGGAAAAAAGAGTTTCAACAGAAAGTTAGCAAATTCTCATCGGTCTGCCTATCTCCAGCACTTGAGGGAGACAGTCTGGAAGTCCTCAGAGACTGGAATCTTGATGGCAGAACTTCAAATGTTCCCATCACTTGCCAAGGAAGTGCCACACTTGCTCTGTGTTTAAAACGGGGGAAGAAGGGTGTTAGGGAAGGGGTTCGAGGGAGGGAGGAAGGAAGGAAGGAAGAATAAGACAAATTTAATTTAGACCTTTTGGAAGTGTTCAGGCAGGTAAAAACAATCAAGAAGCTTAGCATGGCCCAGTCCATATGGCTTAGTGGTGGAGCATCGACCTATGAATCAGGAGATCATGGTTCCATTTCCTGGTGAGGATACATGCCCGGGTTTCAGGCTCAAACCCCAGGAGGGGGTGTGCAGGAGGCAGCCGATCAATGATTCTCTCTCATCATTGATGTTTCTCTCTCCCTCTCCCTTCCTTTCTGAAATCAATAAAAATATATATATTTTTTAAAAGCTTATTTTGCATGACATTTCTCTATTTAAAGCTACTTCCCTTTAAATTCTTGTCTTAAGTTCTCTCATTTAGATGAAGTCTTACATAAAACTACATTAGAAATTCTAGAGCCTGCCCTGGCGGGTTTGGCTCAGTGGATAGAGCGTTGGCCTGCGGACTGAAAGGTCCCAGGTTTGGTTCCGGTCAAGGGGATATGCCTGGGTTGCGGGCTTAGTCCCCAGTTAAGGGGCGTGCAGGAGGCAGCCGATCAATGATTCTCTCTCATCATTGATGTTTCTCTCTCTCTTTTCCTCTCCCTTCCTCTGTGAAATCAATAAAAAATATTAATAAAAAAATTCTAGAGCCTTCCCACTTTATTTCCTACTTCTCTCTGGGTGATTTTAGTCTCTATTGAATGCTACAGAAGTTAGTACCCTAGCTGCAGCATGAAAAGTCTAGAAAACCCTTGAACTGTAAAATTGGACTGCCTGTCAAATACACAAAATGGGATAGTATTACAAAAAAAACAATGGGTTAGTTCCCCACATAAGGAATGGAGCTTGCTTCCCCATGAAGCCAGCTCTATGGTTCTGCTCCTTTCTAAACATCCTAGAACTAGACTCACAGTAAATACAGTAGTTCCTCGGGTTACGTTGGAGATCTGTTCCTACTGCGTGACATAACGCGATTTTCGCTGTAAGTCGGAACCCACCTACATAAGCAACTACTTCACTCACATGGAGCACATACACATCAATAATGAAGTGAAACAGTAAAAAAAAAAAGTAAAAGACAGATAACAATTCCTGACCTTTACTTGTGGTAAATAAATAATAAAAAACACAAAGCACATATGTATATACATCGAAATGACGGAACTTTTTTTTTTTTTTATAAATAAATGGGAGATGGCGATGTAACCACAAAACAATGTATGTCAAGTCCGACGTAACCCAAGGTCTGTCTGTAGTGCTCATTTTTTTCTACAAATTTGCAAGCTCAATATTCTTCTACTGTTGTATATTAAAGCAACAGGCCAAAGGTCTGCCCAAATATTGAAAGACAAATTATATGTGCATATGCTTGTATTCTGAAATTTTTACCACAGAATATTTTTACTTGTTTCTCAAAACAGCTTCAAATATAATGGGAGTGAAAATATGGCATTTTTAATCATGCTACAAATTTTATTTTTAAGATCTTTAGTCAAAATAAATAAAGTGATGAAAGATGAAGAAAATATCCCAAATCAGATATTTGGAGTCTTTTTAAGCTTATTAGAACTAGCTGGAATCTCTCTACTTCACCAAAAAAGTCACTACATAATCAACCATTTTCTAGCCTAAAAGTAATAAATGTACTCTTTCTCATTTTCTGAAATTAATAAACTACTTCATGTGAAAATTTTAATGACTATTTTGAAAAGTATTTTACTTAGTTTATATAACTTCTCAAAAATTATACCTTTATTGTTGAAAGTATTACAGATGTCCCTTTCCCCCATTGACCCCTTCTAGCTAGCCCTTACTCCCCCTCACTGCCCACCCCTAGCCTTCACCACCCTATTGTCTGTGTCCATGGGTTATACATATATCCATACAAGCTCTTTGACTGATCTCTTCTCTCCCTTGCCCTCCCCCTCCTTCCCTCTGAGATTATACAGTCTGTTCCATGGTTCTATGTCTCTGGATCTATTTTATTCATCAGTATACTTTGTTCTTTAGATTCCACATATGAGTGAGATCATGTGATACTTGTCTTTCTCTGAGACTGGCTTGTTTCACTTAGCATAATACTCTCCAGTTTATATAACTTTTAAATTAATCTATTGAATTTCTTTTTGGCTTCCACTAACTAAAAACGAATAAATTTACACCTCTAGCTCCTTAAGAACCCAAATGTACCATACCTTCTTCTTGACTTTCTTTACTTATTGAAGATGATACCTGAAAGATAAGAACAGAGTTTCCATTACAATGAATTTTTAGATGTAGAAATTGTATCCAAAAGTTTTTCTCATATATTTTATAGAACCAAGTTCACACATACTAGTAATAGTTCTCTAACCTGAAAAAAAATTTCCTTTTGCCTTTATTATCACTGCTCACTCGTTCAAATAAACCACACAGAGTCAAATAGAAAAAGCATGCTTGAAAATATCTTTTCTCATTAGCCCCTGGGAACTACTGGGAATGAGGAGAGAGGTTTTCTTTCAGCTGCTTCCTTGGCTGAGGTCCTGAGAACAAAAACCAAACTTACACATTCATAAGTATGCGCATGCGGGTGCGTGACACATACAGAGACACACATACAAACTATATAATTTATGCAGTTGCTTTCTAGAACTTTCAAGATGATTTTTGTTTATTTTGATGGCGGCCAAGATTCTTAGGGCAGCTGTAATACAACCTGTGGTGGACAAGTTTGAAAGAAAGGTTTTCTAGAGATATAAATTGTTTTCTAAGAAAACATTTTTAAAAGTTTTTATAAAAAAACATTTTATTAGAAGATCCATTTTCTATAGACAGAAATGCACAAAGCCCAAGAATACTTACGTTAACATCTACGTAATCACTACCGAGATCAAAGAATGGAACATGACGGGCTCTTCCCCAATTGTAACCTCATCTCCCCAACGATAACCTGACTTTGTAACACACTTTTCATATTTCTTTTTTTTTTAAAATATATTTTATTGATTTTTTTTTTTTTTACAGAGAGAAAGGGAGGATAGAGAGTTAGAAACATCGATGAGAGAAACATCGATCAGCTGCCTCCTGCACGCTCCCCACTGGGGATGTGCCTGCAACCAAGGTACATGCCCTTGACTGGAATCGACCTGGGACCCTTCAGTCCACAGGCCAACGCTCTATCCACTAAGCCAAACCAGTTAGGGCACTTTTCATATTTCAATTCAATAATCAACTTCTAATTCTCTGAATTTGCTCACCCTCAATAGAAAAGACCTACTTTTGGCATTTGAGGTCTTGGGTAAAGATAGAAAGACCAGACACCATACATCTGAACAGTTGAAAGTTATAAATCAGAATAACGGCTAGAATATAAAGTATGCTTCATCCCACCATCTTGTAAAACACCTTTGTACCAACTTGGGAGCTCTCATAGCATTCGGATGCCTCAGAGACTGCCTGAGGATGGCAGCGCGAGAAAAGGCACAGGGCCTCACCCTGCCCCACGTCTCCTCCCACCCCAGGCTCCGTTCTGCACTGGAGACCTCACTGGCACAACAGTGGAAATTCCAGCCCACCCATCTATGCAACCCCTACCTGCAATGGCCACCCCCGCACCCCTGCAGAAGTAACAGTGAGCACATAGTCCACAGAGTAATGAGTGTGAATTTGGACAGACGCCCACACAGACCCCGCGAACGGGCCTGCAGCTGTCTGGGCAAAGACTTCTAGGGTCTTGAGTAGCCAGTATGTTTTCCAGAATGGGGGGCTTGGGCTGCCAGTGAAGGCACAACTTTGGTCCCCTGGTCTTTTCCTGTGGGGAGGGACAGGATTGGATGAGGGCCAAAGCAGGGTCCTCTAGGTCTAAGGGCAGTACTGAATAAGAACAGCTCAGCAGGAAAAACAGTTACATTTCAGCAATATTAAAATATTCCCTATCATAGTGAATGCGTCACCTTGGAGTGAGATTAACATTTAACTGATGAACTCAGGGTAAAGCGATTGGATGGGTGGGCCTCATCCAATCAGTTGAGGGCCCCAATAGAGCAAAAAGACCAGTTTCCCTAAGCAAGAGAAAATTCTCCAGCTTTGTACCATTGGGTTTTTGGCCTGCCAGTCCACCCTGCAGTTTTCGGGCTTCCCAAGCCCCCCGCCCCCCTACACACACACACACACTACGGACTGGTTCTCTGGAGAACCCTAATACATTGCCCTCCCCCAAATCATAAATTGTTGAAGTTATTTTTCCTTCAACTCTACTTAAAAACAACCCTAGTCAAATATGCTTTGTTTTTTTCTGTCATAGAAAAGGGTGATGTAACAATGTAAATAAAGACCTCTGTACAAATTTTATGTATAATAAAAAGTACTTGACATTTTCCAAGTACTTCAAAAAACAAGAAAAATTTTATTCAGTTTCCTAGCATGGCGAAAATGCTTAACCATGGCTGGTTTTGAGGACGGTAGAACTGAAATGAATCTGGGTGTGAAAGGAACGCTACAACATGAAATATTACTCACTGAGATTAGGCCTTTGGGATGCAATAACTCTGGTTTTCTAAACAGACTATAAAGAATGTAACTTGCCTGTTCTTTGAAATTGTTATGCTCTTTAAATTGTGTAGGACACATATTACAAAGTTTGTCAAAAAGTTAGCTGTTTAGATTTCCTGTTTAAAATCAGCAGCTGCTTCTTGTTGGAGCTGCTCAGAGGAAGAAAATGTATGGCATATAAAACAGAATAACTGAGCAGCTTCTCATTACCTACAGAGTGTTACAGAAATGAACAAACTACTCTACCCAAGACAGTTACCATTAAACGTTATTTAAAAATAATTTCCAGATTATTTTAATTTTTTCATTCTGAAAATGTATTTCTTGGTTGATAGAATATATTCAGAATGTACAAAGTCTTATATAAAATAAAACAAACATCACAGGTAAGTTTAACACTCAGAGGTAGTAAACTATTAAAATTTGGAGGTATTTTTTATATATTTTTCCATATTAGCATATGCCAAAAGAGAGACCAGGATTTATATTTAAAAATACCAACACGAGATCATGATAAATATCAGCTATTTAAATACCACTGACTTCCAGACTTTTAAAATAACAAGGGTAACGCTTGTAGAAACTGGAAGAACAAAGAAATGCACAGAGCGGTATCTAAAAGTGCCCCAATCCCAACTCTCACCCTCAGAACCACCACTATTATATTTTCCTTGTAAGAAACCAACACAGGGTTTTCAGTTACTTCTATTTCTCAGTAGGTAAAGAATGTGGGCACCCTCTCCTCATCTAAGAGAAATTCTCCACGAAATGGTCAGTGTTATTTTATACCCTCTTTCTAAAAATGCGATCTCCTCCCCTTTTCCCACTCTAAAAAATACTTCTCACGAATATTCCTATCTTTAATTTCTTTAAAACAAATCTAGAGTTCTCCTTACCAAAGTATTCCTCTTTCTTTTATCAACCAAAGAAAGCTTATGCTGGCCTCAGTCCCTTATCCAGGCATGAACTGTATTTTAAATTAATACAACTGCTATACATTTAGTGTCTCTCCTTCAAACAATCCCATCAGCTTCCTACAAGCATTTTCTTAGTTATCCATACACAAAATGGGAAAGTATTTTAAGACTGTAAGTTTAATCAACTTTGTCAATAAAAAAATATAATTGGCTAGTACCTATTGATTTTATTTTCATTTCCTTTGCCCATCTTTGAGTGGTAATGCATATTATGCTTTGATTGGTTGAATGGCTGACTGGACATTTAGCATATTAGGCTTTTATTATATAGGATGGTGCAAGGTGTGAAATAAAGTGTCAAATTTATTGGTATAAAGTTTTCCACAATATTTTTCAACTCTCGTAATATCTGTAGAATCAGCAGTGATGTATTTTATTTCATTCCTGACACTGAAAATATGTCTTCTCTCTTTTCTTTCCTGATCATTCTGGATAAAGGTTTATTATATTCTCAAAGATCTAGCTTTTGGTTTCATTAATTTTATCTACTGATTTTCTGGGCATACAAATTTTTAAATCAGTATACATTTTTAAATCGGTATACATTTATTCAGTTTCCAATTTTCTCATGTCTGATCAGATAAAAACATGAATTAAAAACTCCATAGAATCTAGAAGGGTAATTTCTTAGTGGGTTATAAGCGTGTTCAACTTTATTAGAAATTACTTAATTGCTCTTCAAAGTAGTTGTACCAATTTATATTTGCATCAAGTATATCAACAAGTTTGAGAGATCTCCTTTTACCACTTCTTTAAAAACACTGCATCTCTGACACTTGCTAAATGATAACTATGGAATTGTATTGTGTCTTAGATTGATCTCACTGATTACTGGTGAGACTGAATAAATTTTCACATGCTTACTGGCTATTTAAGTATCCTCTCTGGTGAGTTGTCCATTCACATTGTTTGCCCACAAAGTGTAATCGGCTGGTCCTGTGGTTGAACTATTAGAGTGTTATTCCTGCTGACAGTGGCCGCACGCTGCAGCCCAGACACCCAGCGTTCCAGGGCAGTGCAGTTCCCTGCCTCTTATAATCCCTCGGGTGTTGAGATCTATGTAGCCAACTCTGTTTTTGACACAGCCATGCCTTTCGTGATTGTATATCAATTCAAACGTCTATATTTGAAAACAAATTCCAAGAACCCTCGGGATTTTGTTTTTCTACTGTAGGATTCTCAGTGAAAAATCAGCAAGCACTTTCTTCATTATTAGGAAGCACAACAGTTACCAAACCATGTAATTAAAGCTGGATATTAATATTTCTGATTTCTAACCTTGTTCCCCAAATCAAATTATCTAAGTCATATCCAAATCCTCCAATTTTTTTTTCAAGAGGATGGCTTCGTCAACCTATGAATAAGGTGGTCACGGTTCGATTCCTGGTCAGGGCACATGCCTGGGTTTTGGGCTCGATCCCCAGTGTGAGGTGTGTAGGAGGCAGCCGATCGATAATTCTCTCTCATCATTGGTGTTTCTCTCTCTCTCTCTCCCTCTTCTTTCTTCTCTGAAATCAATAAAAATACATTTTTAAAAAAGAGGATGGCTTCCCTGGTAATATGACAGGAAACAAAAAACAGGACGTAAAAGAAACTTTAATCTTGAAGATAATTTGAAGACAAGTATCTTTGTTTATTATTCATAAATCCAAAACCAAAATAAGTGGAATAGTCTTAATCTGAGACTACTTGGACAAAGATAAAGAAAATTTTTCCCTTAAAAAAGTAATAGTAAATACTGATGAGAACTAAGTTCAGAATGTAATCTACATAGATACAAAATTGAAAACCTGAAGAAAATAAATGATTTGGTGGTCCTCATTACTAAAATGGCTTCTCTGCATCTTCCCTGACCTCCCAATAGTCCCTGCTCAGCAATGCAGCCAAGTGTCTTGTTAAAATCTAAGTCAGATCATATCACTTTTGCTCAAAACCCTCCAATGGTTCCCAATCCCATTCAGAATGAGAAATAAAATTCTTAATAGTCTTTACAGACTATAATATAGTTCTTTCATAATAATTTGCCTCCATTTCCAACCCCAGAACCAAACTTTTCTGATCTCCTCTCCTCCTCTGTCCCCTGGACTCTCTCTATTCCACTGTCACTGGTTCTCAGGTATTTCTAGGACACACCAGGCATCCTCTTGCCTCATGGCCTTTGGGACTGTGGCCTGGAACGCTGTTCCTTCACAGACACTTGGCTCCTTCCTTTCCCGTCTAAGAATCTTGTCTCATGGCAGCCCTTTCCTAAGTGAGGCTGTCCCTGACTCCATTCAATAACCTTCCAGGACACCATGTATTTTACTTGTGTATTTAATAACCATCCACCTCCCCAACTGGAATAGTTAGCATTCTATCCAAGGGCAGGTTTTTATATATTTTCCTTAGTACTGCATCCCTAGCACTTAGAATCTCACAACATGGAACAGGCGCTAATCAAATACTTGATGAATTAGTGGAGAAAATAAAATTTGAAGCAGTCATCATAAGCAAAGATGTCTGTTGTTCCTTGAAATAAACATCTAAATTCACTAGTTTCCTACCTCATAAAGAGTTACTTGTTAAAAACTTAATTTATAAATGGTATTTCTAGCCTAAGATCATTCCTGAAAATACCATATAGCAATATGACTTGATTATCAGAATATGAATCTTATTTAGAAAATCAATGAGAGAATCATTGATCGGCTGCCTCCTACACGTCCCACACTGGGGATTGAACCTGCAACCCCAGGCATGTGCCCTGACGGAACCAAACCATGACCTCCTGGTTCATAGGTCAATGATCAACCACTGAGCCATGCCTGCCAAGCTTCCCTTCTATTTTAAAAATTAAAGCACCAATACAAGTACCAATTTGTTAATAAATTCAGTTGTTTCCAGGCAGCAAAAACAGTAGGATATGTAAATATCCAAGGATATCTTCTTAGCTAGGAAGTCGAAAGCTTGTGAGATAGCCAAACTAAATGGAAAAAAAGGGTCTTATTTATTTCATTTTTCTTGAGCCAAAATGCACCTATACAGCAGCCAGTTGCACTTTTGCCACCGACTGGTGGGAAACTCATGAGAACAGAACTGCACAGAGAACAAATGCATACAAACAACAATAAATTGGTGATGTTAAGGAAAAGAGCATCTATGAAAATAAATGGTTAATGTACTTTAGAAAAGAAAACTTAATAATTCAATTAAAAGGTTTTGATTTAAATTCCCCGGATTAAAAATAATAGATTTTAGTGTTATTTTTTAACTTTATAGACTTCCTTATGACATAAGATTAAAGGACATTTTCCCTTACCGATTCAACTAATGATCTTGCTTTCTCTTGAGCACAATGATAAGGACTATCGCATATCTGCACATTTGTGCTGCAAATGAAAAGAGAATGTTTTTATTACACAGGATAAAAAAGGAGCAATTACCCAAAAGAAAACCAAGTCCAAATATTCCACACTGACAGTATGATTCTAGCTGGTGAAAAGGACCAAGTGCTCTGCAGCACTTCATGCTCCAGAATTCAAAATAAAATTATACAAAAGTATACAAATCTCAACTGCACCCTGTTATATATAAAAGGATAAGCTAAAACTACACTTCACCTTTACTGAAGGAAAGAAAAAAAAAATTTGACCCACAGAATGATGACTATAAGGACAAATTTTCTCTAAGTGAGGAGATAAACACTAATTGGCCACTGAAAGGTAGGTATGGAAGATTAAACTAAGAGTGGTGAGAGAAAATCATATGACTATGAAAACTCGGTTTTCTCACAAGTAAGGAAGTTTGGTAGGCATAAGACACCAGCTCCTTCCATGATCAGTAACGGCTCTATACAGTCAAAGCTTCTCCATTCAATGGGAACACCATGCTATCAATGCAGCATGACACCACCCAGTACCTTGTCCTACCTCCTGCACATCCTTCCTCTCAAACATAATTTCATAAAAAAATCAGATTAAAATGGATTCCTAAAGGAGATAAATAATAGATGAAACACACACACACACACACACACACGCCCATAAGTGAATCTACAGGATATACATTATCAAATTACTATTAATTTTCACAATGGTTTATGAAATATGTCAGGATATATATAAGAAGATCTATCTACCTATCTATCTATCTATCTATCTATCTATCTATCTATCTACCTACCTAACCTATTTACCTATCTATCTTTTTAACTACATCTGTCTATAATCAGACATTGGGTATAACAATTATACTAACTAGTCAGTTTGCTTTTTATCCAGACTCAAAATGTGGGATTTATTTTCATTCTTGACGTGGATAAGAAAGTTGGCATTATCATCTTTAAGGCTATTTTTATTTTCTTCTCTACATCCCATGTTTATTTAAAAAACTGAAAAAGGTAAAGCCTTATAAGTCAGATGTTTCCTTAAAGAAAGTTAAAACTAAATTTAAAAAGAACAACGCAAAAAATTAGACATTGCAGTCTTAAGTGCTAATCCTCTGAAGAAACCATGGTGTATGGTAAATATACTATGCACAATGTTTCTAACATTAAAACTAAATCATCTATAGATGCTGGGGATACAGAGCCCTATTGAACTAGAGCCCCTATGGAGCTGATAATATTTAGGAAACATTTTAGCTCTCAAATCAAACCATGGCCTACAAGAGAAGCAGAAAAATCATTTAATGGAAAGATGACTAAGCTGATAAGTGTCTACCACAAATGAGATTAAATATGACTACAAAGAATATGCTGCTTCCCATTTTATAATAAGACTAGGGGCCCGGTGCACAAAAATTTGTGCACTTGGGGGGGGGGGGGCGGGGAAGGTCCCTCAGCCCAGCCTGTGCCCTCTCATAGTCTGGGACCCCTCGGGGGATAACCACCTGCTGGCTTAGGCCTGCACCCCGGGGGATTGGGCCTACACTGGCAATCAGACATCCCTCTGGCAGCCCGGCAGCCCTCGGGGGATGTCCACTTGCCAGCGGGGAGCAGGCCTAAGCTGCAGTCGGACATCCTTAGCGCTGCTGAGGAGGCAGGCGAGGCTCCCATCACCACCGCTGTACTGGCAGCCATCAGCCTGGCTTATGGCTGAGCAGAGCTCCCCATGTGGGAGCGCACTGACCACCAGGGGGCAGCTCCTGCATTGAGCGTCTGTCCCCTGGTGGTCAGTGTGTGGCATAGTGACCAGTCATTCCCAGTCTTTCTGCTGTTAGGGTCAGTTTGCATATTACCCTTTTACTATATAGGATAGAGGCCTGGTGTACAGGTGGGGGCCGGCTGGTTTGCCCTGAAGGGTGTCCCGGATCAGGGTGGGGGTCCTGCTTGGGTGCCTGGCCAGCCTGGGTGAGGGTCTGATGGGTGTTTGCAGGCTAGTCACACCCCCTTCAGGGTGGGGGTCCCCACTGGGGTGCCTGGCCAGCCTAGATGAGGGGCTGATGGCTGTTTTCAGGCTGCCTGCACCCCCTTTAGGGTGGCAGTCCCCACTGGGGTGCCTGGCCAGCCTGGATGAGGGGCTGATGGCTGTTTTAAGGCTTGGCCACACCCCCTTTAGGGTGGGAGTCCCCACTGGGGTGCCTGGCCTGTCTGAAGGAGGGGCTGAGGGTTTTCAGGCTGGCCAAGCCCACCGGCGCAAGCGACTGAAGCTCCCAGCCTCTCCTTTTTTTCTTTTTATTCTGGAATTTATTTACTTTCTATAATTGAAACTTTGTTGCCGCTCCAGCTCCGAGGCCACAACTTGCTGAAAGCAGGTATCTGGGGTTTGTTTAGCTTCTACAATTGCAACTTTGTTGCTTAGAGTGGAGCTCAGAGCCCGGCCACAGCAGGGAGGAAGCTTGGTTTCCTCCATCACTGGAGCAAGCAAGCCTCCTGCTCGCTTCAGCTGCGTGGCTGCCGGCCGCCATCTTTGTTGGTGGTTAATTTGCATATCTTGCTGATTAGCCAATGGGAAGTGTAGCGGAGGTACGGTTAATTTCAATCTTTGTCTATTATTAGATAGGATACCAAATATTTTGCTATAAATTTATAAACATTATATAGCCCATATGCAATCTCACTTACCAAAATAAGCAGACATGACATTAGAGCAACAGATGAGCAATAACAAAAATGCTGTGTATAACAAACCCAAATTGCATTTAAAAATGATAAAAGGCATATTAGTAGATATATAATAGTGCAAAAATTGATTAAATAAAAATAGAAAAAGAAATTACCTGCAAATAATGAACAGACACATAAAAGATGAAATTTACGGCCCGCAATATAGAACATTAGTAAAGAGAAATTTTTTTTTTTCAAGACCATCTCAAATCAGACAAAGGCTCAAACTCATGAGAATCCTCAAAGACAGGTCCAGGATATAGATTTGCCCAGGCTTCTCATTCTACAGCAAAGTAGTCAAGAAAATAGGAGAGACAGGGAGAGAGGGAGGGAGGGAGGGAAGAGAGGGGGGAAGAGAGAGGGGGGGAGAGAGAGAGAGAGAGGGGGGAGAGAGAGAGAGAGAGGGGAGGGAGGGAGGGAGGAAGGGAGGGAGGGAAAGAGAGAAGAGAATGACAATGATTTTGGACTATAACCTCCAGAGTTTGTAGAAGTGACACTGCAGTAAATCTACACAAAGTTAAAAGAATTGGAGCCATCTGTATAGGATCAAATGCACCTCCCTCTGGAAGGTAAAAAGAAACAATTTTAAGATCTCAACTATTTGGAATTTTTTTTTCATTTTTTCATTCAGTAAGCATAAACTACCTGTCAAGTCCTGTCACTAAGTGCGAAGGTCAAACTCAATTTAGAGCATAAAAAAGAAAAAATAATGCACCGCCCCAAGTTCTTCAGAGGGGTGTGTACAGCTCAGGTGATGTAAGAGCACGGGTGAGGGTACATTTAATTCTGACCAGAAAAAAATATTCTTTACAGAGGTGACATCTAAACTACTTCTTGAAGAATGAGCAGGCATTCATGGAGGAAAGACAGTGAGATGAGAGGGGACAGAATGAGGCTGGACAAGTAGGTTTTGACAAGTTTAATGTGTGGAAGAACTGGGTCATATTCTGTCGTCGAAGGGAACCACATGAAGTTTTTAAGAATAAAAATGACAATCACATTTCTATTTTTCAAAGATAATTTGGACAATACTGTATAGAACATATTAAACAGAAGAGTAGTTGCAATACAAAATAATTTATGAGTACAAAAATGATAACTGAATTAAAGCAGTTTTGCAACTAGAAGGGCATTTGAGAAGTAATCAAAACTTGAAAAACTGCATCACAACAAATAATCGTTAGTGAAATAAAATAAGCTGGTAAAAAGAACAGTACACTTCGGATCTCTTAAAAATGAGATAAATAAACTGTGGCTGAAGAGAGCGTCAGAGGCATTGATGATTAAACCCAAATGGCAAAAAAAAAACAAAAAAACACACACACAAAAAAAAACACAACCCCTCTGTTTCTCCTACGAAGGAGTTTACAGTTATTTTAATGAAATTCTTTCTGTTAAAAGACTATATCGCCTTCAGAGTAAACATTAAACAGTGGGACCAAAATAATAAAAATAACAAAACTTATTGTGAATAAGATAATTACTCAAAATACTAATTAAAGAATTTAATAAATGCAGTGCTCCTGGAAACAGAAGAGTCACTACTAGATTTAAAACACAACGAATATTTATTGGCTTTAAAATATTATTCAACAATTTACCTCAAAGGGGATTTATTAAGTAGCTATTACATGTCAGGTGAAAATAAAGATGGTTAAGGCAGTTTTATTCATTTGCTTTCAAGGAACTTCTAGAGGACACAAATTCACAAATAAAACACAGCAGCCCACCCTTATCTGTAGGGGATATGTTCTAAGACCCCCAGTGGATGCCTGAAACCACGGACAGAATTGAACACTCTATACACTATGTTTTTTTCCTATACACACATACCTATGATAAAGTTTAACTTATAAATTAAGTGAGAAATGAACACTAACTAGAAATAAAGGAGAACAATTATAACAATATACTCTAACATATACTCGAATATAAAGGTATGTGGATATGGTCTCTCATTTCTGATAACTACTAAGTGCCCAATGGGTGAGGAGGATACACTGGAAAAAGGGATATTTCACATCCTGGGCTGCAGCAGGACAATGCGAGATTTCATCACACTAAGAACAGTGTTGACTTAAAACTTATAATTGTTTTTCTGAAATTTTCCATTAATATCTCAGACCGCAGTTGACTGCAGGTAACTGAAACCATGAAAAGTAAAACCACAAATAGGGGTGGGGGGGGGGGTGTTATTGGTTAATCACTATGGTAAATGCAACGATAGAAACACACAGAGGGAACACAGAGTGTATTGGCACCTTAACTAGCACTGGGGCTACTATAACGGAATGTTTCCTAGAGAAGATGCAGTCAAAGATAAGTCTTAAAAAATCCAAAAGAAAAGAAAAGAAGAAAAAAAAATGAAGAAGTTAGCCAGTTCACAAAATGAGAAGACAATCACGGCCAAGAAAACAGTCACGGCCTAGAGGTCAATAACCAGGGTGTATATGAGGAGTGATAAGCAGTTCTCAGTTGTTGGAAACAGGAATAAGAGGCATGAAGTGATGGAAAGTGAGACCAGACAGGGGTCCAATCCTGAAAGGCCTTGTTTGTTCTTCTGGAGAAAAGTTCGTGTTTTATGGTTCACACACAGAGAGGCTCATTAGGGGCTTTAAAAACATTTTTATAAAGGCTTAGAGATTCTAATTCACTAGACTTAAAAAAGGGACAATGCAGCTAAGTTTTCTCACAGTTTCCCTAGGTACTTTTGATGGACTGTGTGTTGTTTAGAGAACTGCAGTGATAAATAATGTGAACCTAAACTGAATGAAGTGGGGAAAACAGGTTAAAAAGGGAAGAGGAGACAGTGTACTCATCTATAACAGTACATTTTAAGGAACCGAGAGAGTAATTTATTCACTAAAAATAAAGAATATAAAAATGCAACAACTTTGAATATATTTTACAAGTCAAGTAGTGATAAAAATAAAAAATGTGTTAATATTCTAAAGGTTTTGTCTTTAAATGACCTAGGCACATGTAATTTTTAAGCTAACAAAACTTATTTTATTGTATTCTCTAAAATGGTACAGGTAGCCTGACTGAGGTTGCTCAGTGGTTGAGCATCAACCCATGAACCAGGAGGTCACAGTTTGATTCCTGGTCAGGGCACATGCCTGAGTTGTGGGATCGATCCCCAGTAGGGAGCATGCAGGAGGCAGACAATCAATGATTCTCTCTCATCACTGATGTTTCTATCTCTCTTTCCATCTCCCTTTCTTCCTGAAATCAATAAAAATATGTATTATAAGAAATAATAATAAAATAAAATGGTAGAGGCATACTATAGCTGTTAAGTAAACAGACTTGGAACCTGGCTTAAATCCTGGCTCCACCGCCCAGTGTGACCTTAGATCCATTCAATCTCTGTGGTTTCAGTTCCTCGAGGGTAAAATGGAGATGTAATAGGGTTCTGGTGAGTATTAATGAAATAACACATATAAAATACATAGAACCTGGAAGATAGGAGAGTTCAATAAATGTCAACTCTTACTAATGTAATCCTAATCACTACCAAAAACTAGAGCAAAATGATGCCAGAGCTTAGAAATCGTCACCCTCAGAATGCAGATAACTGGAATCGGCACAGAAGGAATCATCTCAAGCAGTAGAAAAGCTAACCCACGCGATGGTCTGCAGCTGTGTAGCTGAGGAAGCTGGGGAAAAACACAAGCCCCTCAAGGAGTGCAAGAGCTTTTCAGAAAGTATGATTAGCAAGGAGATAAGTAAGGGAGTGAACAGCAAGCAAATTCCTCTTAGACAATTAGAGATGTCTTCTTTTAGCTCATCACATTAATAGCTGGCTTCGAATACCTGACCATGAAGATGAACTCAGTCTACCAGTTACTAGGATAGTCAGGACTGGAAGACTTTGTTGTTAATAAATTATTCTATTTAAATTAGAAAAAAAAGTACCTAAATTTTAAGAATATGCTGAAAAGAAGAGAGAGTAGTCGGCACAAGCGGTAAGAAAACGGGGAGGAGGATATCAGAGTTGAGGGTGTTACATTAGCCTGCACGAGAAATAGAATCTGAAGCTATAATGCCCAAGCATTTGTGCCACAGGTAAGATGAGCCTCTTGATGACCTGAATAAAATATTCTTTGAGCCTATTTCTTTCCTTCATCTGACTAATTTATTCTAACAATTGCTTTAATGCATCGGTTCTCAACCTGTGGGTCGCCACCCCTTTGGTGGTCGAACGACTCTTTCACAGGGGTCACCCGAGACCATCCTGCATATCAGATATTTACATAACGATTCATAACAGTAGCAACATTACAGTTATGAAGTAGCAACGAAAATAATTTTATGGTTGGGTCACAAGATGAGGAACTGTATTTAAAGGGCCAGAAGGTTGAGAACCACTGCTTTAATGTCTCTTTTGATTCCAGACTTTATGCTCCAAAAGAGCAGGGACTGTCTTCACAGCAGTAATACAGTGGGGCCTTGACTTACGAGTTTAATTCGTTCCGTGACGGAGCTCGTAACTCAAATTACTCATATGTCAAATCTTAAAGTGAATGAGTGAGACACGTGATGCTGGGCTGATGTTGTGACATTCGCTGCACCAACTAGCGGTGGGGTATCTGAAGCTGGCTTGTAACCCGAATTTTAGCTCGCAACTCAAAGCAAAAAATCGGCCGAGAGACGGCTCGTATCTCAAAAAACTCGTTAGTCAGGACACTTGTAAGTCAAGGCCCCACTGTACTGGTATCAGGACAGGACCTGGCAGTAGACCCCTAGTCAGTATTTGCTGAAAGAGAATGGTTTTCCAATTCCGCCTGGTTCAGAGAAGGGAACAGTGAAGTGGGGCAGTATCTACTCTCGAGGACGTCAAGTTGCTTCCCACAGTTAGGCTCACAAACAGTCAGTTGTTTTGTTCTCAAACTTGTTTACGTCTGTTGCCTTGGTTGCTATTATTTCATAATGTACGCAGCAATTATGCTCACAGATGAAGGGAGTGTGGAAAGAGAACTGTTTCTATGAACACTAAAGTAGGCTCTAAAACTTCCGAGGCTGAAAACACTACTGAGGCTCTAAAAAGCCTTAATCAGAATGAATGACTATAAAAACTTGATGGCAAAATAAGGTGTGGGGTAAGGCAACTGTAAAAGGTTAGAAAAAAACATACCCTTCAAACTTATAAGGGTTTTTCATTGTAAGGAGTTTAAGGGTTATAGGACCTGATCTTTATTTTCTATTATACATTTACATAAGAATATATATAATCTATATGGAATCAATACAGAAAAGGTCTTTGCCTTATGTCCAGGAATAGGTGAATAAATGTACATTTAACTGTTTTAAAGTAAAATAAATGAGTTATATATGTTACTGTTGTTTGATTCCTCTGAATCCATCAGCTAATGATCCAGATCTTGTTGGATAAGATGGCTTTTTTGTTTTTATTAAGAAATGATGTGGTAGCTACAAGATAAATACAATAACCATATGCTTGCATGTTGAAAAACTGTTAATGTTTTTTCAGGCCATTTTTGCACATATCACAATATATTACAATAACCACTGATATTATAAATGCTCCCACTAATCTATAAATCCCTTGAAAAATGATGAGTTAATTATTAGTTTCATGGTGCCCAACACTTAGTAATGACTTCCAAATTGGTGCTCTGTAAGTATTTAAGTCAAAAAAATTGCAACTCCTTAAAAAAATCAGATCTGAGTAGTATTATATGACTGTTTACTACCAATTAATAATAAAATAATAAGTAAAAAAGACAAATTCTTACCAACTTATAGCCCCTCCATCACACTGTTTCATAAGCAACGCTTTCCAACATTCATGTGTAGATTTAATAACTTCAAGAGCAAAAGCCTAGTTCCAAACCAAAAGAAAAAAAAAATGTCATAGCAATCATCACATCGTTATACTAACATACTCTCTATAAGAACATGAGCTCTGGAGTCAGGCAAACTTGAGTATAAATTCTGGCATCCTTATTTACCAGCTGTTTGACTTTGGGTAAGTTGCTTAATCTCACTAAATCTTAATTTCTTCATCTATTAAATGGAATGGAATGGGGATTATTGAAATCAGAGGTTGGCAACCTAAGACCTGGGGGCCAGATCCAGCCTGCCACTGTTTTTGTAGATAAAGTTTTATTGAGCACAGTTTTATACATATACATAATCCTATACAAAAGACTTAGATCTAAAGGTTCTTTTAATAAAGATTCTTTAAAAAAAATATTGAGTCCAGCAATAAATTCTTATATAGCAAAATACTTAGTGTAAATGCTACTTTTATTTATTTATTTTTAATATATTTTTATTGATTTCAGAGAATGGAAAGGGAGAGATAGAAACATGGATGATGAGCAAGTCAAATTGATTGGCTGCCTCCTGCACGCCCCCTACTGGGAATCAAGCTGACAACCAGGGCATGTGCCCTGACCCGGAATTGAACCATGACCTCCTGGTTCATAGGTTATCAATGCTTAACCACTGTGCCATGCTGGCTGGGCCTTATTGCAAATTTTAGTTTTCATTAACATGGCTTACTTATAAAATATAATTTATTTATTAGCACCCACTTAAAGGTTGGATTATAATGCATAATTCATATAGTGGTAATAACTTTAAAAAATATTCCATGCTTTACACTTTAACTCTCTGGCTATTTTCTCCATTTGCATCATATTAGAGACAGTTTATGGTATTCTATTAAAAAGTCCTATGACAGTGAGATAATTCAAATGCTTTCTTAAATTAGCAGCTTGATTCAGTCATGGTAAAATGAGCACATAGGAGACAAGCCCCTATTGATTTACACTAATAGTAAGTAACTGTATCCTCTCCAGAATAGTAAATAGAAGATTTTTCTTCCTAGAGAATTGGAAGAATTAGATTCATCATGGAAATCCCTCATTTTTTTAGATGAAAGAGATACCTATAGATAAATAGATGGATATAGATCTTCACTAGCCTACTGATTCACTGAGAGATCTCCTGAAAAAAATTTTTAATAAAAGTCATGAAATAATATCCTTAAGTATAAAAGTTATTAAGACTTTTGCTATCATGCTATACACAAATATTCATACGTGAAAAAGTATTGTACAGGTATTATGAGGTATGTTTTAAAATAAAGAGTATTATCTTCACCTTGTTTTTGAATTCTCCATTAAAAGCAAAATGGTTTTCTGGTTTTCCCTCTGGCACCTTATAAAATCTAAACCAATTAAGTGTAGCTTCCAAATAACCTGGTTTGTACTTCCGAACATCATCAATATCTGTAAGTGAAGAAACAAGAAGACTTTTTGTTAAAAATAAAAATTCATTCCTTATAGAGCGTGGAGCTGAGGGAGGTAGAAAACACAGAGTCTAGTGTGACTCTGCTAACAAGCAGCATAATCGTCAGCATATGTCCTTTCCCTGCTGGACTCCGGTATTGCAATGTGAATATTACACTTCATTCTACAGACACTTTCTGAGTATCTTCAGACACTGTCGTAGGTACAGGAGATGAGAACAGCCAAGTTCTTTTCCTCAAGGAGCTCAGAGGGCTAATGAAAGGAAACAAACAAACAACAAAATGCAATGCTGTAAGAAAATTGTGATGTCATCCTGCTGGCAATGGAGGGCTAAAGTAGGGAAAGTTACAACATCAGGATCAGTGCTCAAGAAATATTAAGCTAAAGGAACACTGAACATAGAAAGGAGAGGGCAGTACCCAGAAGAGAACGTATTAAAGTTGGATAAGAAAGGTCTCATGAACATATAAACCAGATATTTAATAAGTTTCTCATTCATTATGTGTCAGATAGTGTTCTAAGCAGTGAAAGAGAACAGTAAATGGAAATGAGCTCCTACTCTCATGGCTTGCACAGTAGGAAGAGACAAATAACAAACAGAGAAACAAACATGTAATACATTAAGCAACGGAAAAGTATGATGAAGGAAAATAAAGCAGAGTAAGAAAGAATGAAGACAGGTCAACTTTAAACAGGATGATACATAGATGGTCCAGAGTTTTTAATTCCCAAATCTGTAATGATTTACAGGATTTATTTTTAAGTTCGGTTACCATGTAAACAGCTTGATTGTTACATTTCAAGGGCATTCATGTTTAAATAACTGGATATTACTATATTAATAATAGGCCTCCTACCCCCATAAAGATTCCCAAGAAATATATCCTTTCAATAAATATTAATTGAAAAAGTATGAGGAATAACTAGGTAAAACTAGAAGCCTTTACTCTTCACCAGACTGTGGCTTAAGGCTTAATTTAGCATAGTCCTTTATGCATAATATATTATAGCAAATGACAAACAGACTTGGTAATACTGAAAAATTAGAAAGTTATAACCAGAAACCAGAGAAGACACCACGCACAGGGATAATTTAAAGATCATATGGTTTCAGACTTGCTCATCCAAGCCTTGTGGGAATCCTCACTCACTAGCTATGTCAGGAAAAGGTGAGCATTTTTATGCTTGCCTTTTTCCTGTTGTGTAAAGGTTTAGCAAGAGTTACACATGCCTCCAGAGGCCAGATGATTCACACACTGAAATGAGTGTGGTAAGGCAGGCACCATAGGCACCATGGCAAACAGAAGACAGAGTATGCTGCCTAAAGGTACTCAAAATTAAAATGTTATAATATGCCAATGGGCCATATATCTATCTTAAGCCTTAGATTCTAAGCTAATTCTGGAGCAAATAGCAGGAACATTACAAATAAGAGGGAAAAGAATCACTTGAAACTGAACACAGGCTACACTTGCTCTATTAATTATAGTTGACTAGTGGCCCGGTGCATGAAATTCATGCGGCAGGTGGGTGGTGGTGGTGTGTGTGTTGTGTGTCCCTCAGCCAGACCTGAACCCTCTCCAATCTGGGGCCCCTCGGGGGATGTCCAACTGCCGGATTAGGCTCGATCCCTGCGGGCATCCCTCTCACAATTTGGGACCACTGGCTCCTAACCACTCACCTGCCTGCCTGATTGCCCCTAACCACTCTGCCTGCCGGTCTTCTCGCCCCCAACTGCCCCCCGCCCTTGACAGCCTGATCACTCCCAACGGCCCCTCCTGCCGGCCTGCTTGCCCCCAACTGCCCCCCCGCTGGCCTGATCACCCCCAACTGCCCTCCCCTTCTGGCCTGATCGTCCCTAACCACCTCTGCTTTGGCCCCACCACCATGACTTTGTCCGAAAGGTCTCCCAGAAGGCCTCCTGGTCTAATGAGCATATTACCCTTTTAGTAGTATAGATATTTATTGATTAAATGATGGAAGATGTTCAAGATAGTGAATTCTTTTTAGTATTATAAATCGTATCTTAAGTCACAGAAGTCTTTGTCATACCCCCAAAACAACATTTAATAGATCCTCTTCAATTTCTGATTATTGTTATACTTATCTTTTTAGAAGAGTTTTGTTCCAAGGCGAGCTTTCTATTGCTCATTTTCATACATCCTATCTCTATTTTTGTGAAAAAAAATTCTGTAAATTAGGTAATACCTAGTTCCTTCAAATCACTGTTTTGTTATTCAGAACGAGAAAAACTTCTTTTGGTCGACTCAAGGTGAGTAATCAGAAAGGCAAATAAATAAGTTTCTGTAACTTAAATTTATGACCTCATCATTAAATTTATGACCTCATCATTATACCTTACCCTATTTGCCATTCTTGGACCCCTTCATAAACATTTTTATGAATGATTTTTAATTTACTGACAATAAATAAAAAAGGAAAAGCTAAGTTTATTTTAGTTCTTGTTTTTAATTACAAATGAAACTCTTTTAATTAAGATCTACTTGATCAATTCCCTGGAAGATTAACAAAGACTTCTTTAAAATATTCTGACTGATGTCCACAGTAGCACCAATGCTGAATCTAGGCTAATCTACACTAATAAAAGAGAAACATGGTAATTGGCGTACGACCGCTACCCTTTTCATTGGCTAATCAGCGAGATATGCAAATTAACTGTCAGCCAAGATGGTGGGCCAGCAGCCAGGCAGCTTGAAACTAACATGAGGCTTGCTTGCCTCAGTGACGGAGGATCGTTGGAGGAAACCAACGTTCCCCGCCTGCGGCTGCAGGCCTCTGAGCAGGCAGTTTAAGAAACATTGTAACAAATACCGCCAGACTTCAGTGAGGAGATTCGCAACATTTTAAGCAAAGGCCAGAAACCTGCGGAGGCCTAAGAGCTGGAGCCAAGCCTCAAGGTAAAGCTGGCCCAGAATAAAAAAAAAAAAAAAAAAAAAAAGGAGCAGTTGGGAACTTCAGTCACCCCCGGCCTGAAAACAGCCCTCAGCCTCTCACCCAGACTGGCCAGGCACCCCAGTGGGGACCCCCACCCTGATCCAGGACACCCTTCAGGGCAAACCAGCCGGCCCCACCCATGCACCAGGCCTCTACCCTATTCTACCCTATATAGTAAAAGGGTAATACACCTCCCGGAACCGGGATCAGTGTGCCGGGGCAGCGCCCAAACCCCCTGATCGCCCTGCGGCTCTGTGTGTGACAGGGGGCAGGGCCCCAACCCCCTGTGCAGCCCTGCTCTGTGCCTGATAGGGGGGAGCTCCCCAACCACACCCCCCCCCCCACGGGCCCTGCTCTGTGTGTGACGGGTAGAGCCAAAACCTCCCCATCGGCCCTGCCCTGAATGTGAGAGTGGCGGCGCCCCAACCCCCTGATCGGCCCTGCTCTGTGAGTGACAGGGGGTGGCGCCGCAACCTCCGCTTTGACCCTGCCTTGAGTGTGACAGGGGACGGTGCCCCAACCCCCCAATGGGCCCGGCTCTGAGCCCAACCAGGGGCTGCACCTAGGGATTGGGCCTGCCCTCTGCCACCCGGGAGCAGGCCTAAGCCAGCAGGTCGTTATCTCCCGAGGGGTCCCAGACTGCGAGAGGGCACAGGCTGGGCTGAGGGACCCCCCCCTCCCGCCCGAGTGCACAAATTTTTGTGCACCAGGCCTCTAGTCCTATCTAATAAAAGAGAAACATGGTAATTAGCTGTACCTCCGCTACCCTAACCATTGGCTAATCAGGGCAATATGCAAATTAACTGCCAGCCAAGATGGCGGCCGGCAGCCAGGCTACTAACACGAACAGGTGGCTTGCTTGGTCCAGTGACGGAGGAAGCCAGGTTCCCTGCCTGCCGCTGCTGGGCTCTGAGCTGCTAAGAAACATTGTTACAAATATAGAAGCTAAACAAAACCCCAGAAACCTGCTTTCAGTCAGCCGGGATCTCAGAGCTGGAGTCGCAACAAAGTTTCAAATACAGAAAGTAAACAAAGCCAGAAACCTGCTTTCAGCAGCGAGGTCTCACAGGTAAAGCCGGCTCTCAGCTCCAGTGACAGCCATAAATCCAAGAATAAAAAAAAAAAAAAAAGGAAAAAAGGAGAGGTTGGTAGCTTCAGTCACCCACCAGCCTGAAAACGGCCGTCAGTCCCTCACCCAGACTGGCCAGGCACCCCAGTAGGGACCCCCCACCCTGAAGGGGGTGTGACCAGCTGCAAACAGCCATCATCCCCTCATCCAGGCTGGCCAGGCACCCCAGTGGGGACCCCCACCCTGATCCAGGACACCCTTCAGGGCAAACCAGCCGGCCCCCACCTGTGCACCAGGCCTCTATCCTATATAGTAAAAGGGTAATATGCCTCCCAGCATTGGGATCAGCGGAGCCGCGAGGCCTCCTGCCCCCTGGAGCAGCGTGACAGGGGCCAGCGCCCAAACCCCCTGATCGCCCTGCGGCTCTGTGTGTCACAGGGGGCGGGGCCACAACCTCCCTATCTGCCCTGCTCTGTTTGTGACAGGGGAAGGCACCCCAAACCCCCCGACCCCCACGGGCCCTGCTCTGTGTGTGACGGGGTGGAGCCGCAACCTCCCCACTGGCCCTGCCCTGAGTGTGACGGGGGAGTGCCCCAACCCCCTGATTGGCCCTGCTCTGTGGGTGACGGGGCGGCGCCCCAACCCCCCAATTGGCCCTACCCTGAGTGTGACTGAGGGTGGTATCACAACCTCCTGATCGGCCCTGCTCTGTGCATCACAGGGGGGAGCTCCCCAACCCCCTGATCGGCCCTGCTCTGTGCGTGACAAGGGGGAGCTCCCCAACCCCCTGATCAGCCCTGCTCTGTGTGTGACAGGGTACGGAGACCAAACCCCCCTGATGGGCCCTGCTCTGTGCATGACAGGGTACAGCGCCCCAACCCCCTGATCGGCCGGCTCTGTATGTGACAAGGGGTGGCGCCGCAACCTCCCCATCGACCCTGCCTTGAGTGTGACA